GGCAGAGCAGTGAGAAAAACAACGCTTTTGGCTGATTTTTTTTTTTTAAAGGAGGAGCTACTATATGCCACGCCCACTTTCTTCATGTTTCAGTTAGGATTATGTTAAACATTAAATAAATCATGCACATTTCACAGCACTTCACAGAACCTTTAAACTAAACCAGTTCAGCCAGAAGGCATCAGCACTCACCGTGAGTCCCTGTGTCTCTCTGAGCTCCTTCAGGCAGAGGACGGCTGTCTGGGGATGCTGGAGCTGCAGAGAGAGAAACGCCAGCTCCAACAGCAGATCAACCCTGATCACACACACAGAGAGACACACACAGATCAAGCCTGATGCAGAACCATATTTTAGACTTTTATTTGGATTCACAAGAATAGGCTAATAATTAGGAAACATTTAGCATTTAACATTTCAAGACTCAAGGATAGAAAACACATTTCCCCCTCTGAGAACTTAAAAAACTTTAATTAAATTCAAAGAGTAAAGCTACTTTATTAATAAAAATACACTTTAATATCTTCACGATAATATTGGTCATATTTTAAGAGGAAAAAAGTTACTAAAGTTGATTTTCTCTATAACTGGCTAGGCGGAAACACTATCCATCCATCCATCCATTCAACTATCCATCCATCATCCATCCATCCATCCATTCAACTATCCATCCATCCATCCATCCATTCAACTATCCATCCATCATCCATCCATCCATCCATTCAACTATCCATCCATCCATCGATTTATCTATCCATCCATCCATGCATCCATCCATCATCCATCCATCCATCCATTTAACTATCCATCCATCCATCCATCGATTTATCTATCCATTCATCTATTCAACCATCCATCCAACCATACATCAATTTATTCAACTATCCATCCATCCATCCATTCAACTATCCATCCATCCATCCATCCATCCATCCATCCATTATCCATTATCCATTCAATTATCCATCCATCCATCCAACTATCCATCCATTTACCCATCTATTCAACTATCCATCCTTCCATCAATCCATCCATCAATTAATCTATCCATCCATCCATCCACTCATCTATCCATCCATCCATCCAACTATCCATCCATTCACCCATCTATTCAACTATCCATCCCTCCATCAATCCATCCATCGATTTATCTATCCATCCATCCATCCATCCATACAATCAACTAGCCATCCATCCATCTATTCAACTATCCATCCATCCATCCATTCAACTATACATCCATCCATCTATCTAACTATCCATTCATCCGTCCATCCATCCATACATGCATCTATTCAACTATCCATCCATATCCATCCATCCACCCATCCATCAATTCACCCATCTATTCAACTATCCATCATCCATCCATCTATCAAAGTGAATATCAGGAGTCCCAAAAACAGAAATATCTGATCATCATCCATATCGCTGTTTGCATTACGCCTGTTTACATTAAACTGTATCCGTGCTGACAGGACCAGATCGTGACAGATTGGAAGTGTTAAAGAGCCCCTACTAAGGGTTTTAAAAAATGATCATCATTGTGTAACACAGGTCGAAGTGAAGTGAAATATCCAGCTAAGGCTATGGCTATGAATTCAATTCAATTACTAACTATGTATGTTATGTATACATGTATGTATGTTATGTCTATGTATGTGAATTACTAACTATGTATTCATCTATAAATGAGTCAACTCATAGTAGTTTGAATGAATCGTTGTGGTAAAGATTCTTTAGCCTTGCCGATGTGATGTCCATACGGGACTCAAGCCTGACCCATTCCCTGAGCGAGCAGACCCAGGAACCCACAAACACTGTATCCCAGCTTAATCATGTGGTGAAGACGCTGTGCTCTGAAGTGTGAGGGAAAGTTAGTGTTATTTTCCCTACCCAAACATGTGAAGAGGCTGTGAAGAGTGATTGGTTGAAGATTATTATTGCAGAAATACTTCAGCATTATAGCCTAGCCTTGTGCTGTCTTCCCCTCATTTATTTGATGAGTGCTTCAGCAATCTACACTCTTACAACGGGGATTCATCTGCCATTTTGTTAAAGGGAGGAGCAAAAAAAGACTACTGATGTGTGGGACTTTGCAGAGCTCGACAGGAACTTTACAATACACAGTTCATGGATCAGCTTCTTCCTCCATTTCACAAATGTAAGTAAGTGTGATTAAAACGGCTGCCTCCTTGTTTTTTCTAGCTTGCAAATTATATATTTAAGTATGTTTTGTTACTTGTGACCGCCCAATGCGGCTTGTAGTGTATCAGGTTAACTCTTTATATTCTCATATCGCATCTAAATCAAAGTTGAAAACGTGACAAGTGCCGCTTTCTTTACAGATTTAAATGTGTTTGGGAGCTCATGATCTGTCGGTGTTATGGCCACCATCATCTGTTCCTACAGATGCGGCAGACGAGTTTCAAAATAGTTTAGCTTTTGCCGCTGTGTGGATTAGGAATGTGTGTCACTGTTTTTACTGATGGTTAAGAACAGAGCTATATGCTGGTGTTTAACTGCACTGCTTTACTGCACTCCTGCATTGGGCTCACACATACACACTGCACTCTGACTACCTCAAAGTTGTTCATAAGCCGTGGTGGGTGTTTCTCTCTGTGCTGAACGCAGTTGACCAATCACAACAGACTGGGTCATCGGACCAATCAGCACAGATTAGCATCGCATTAGGGAGGGGTTTGGGAACATATGAATCGCTGAATGAATCATATGGGAGTCGCTGGGATAATTAAGTAAACATAAATGCATATTATAAGACAATGAAAGTGTTTTTGACCTTGCATACAGATCAGCCTGATATTGGAGACCCTCAAAACCAAAATATGACCTTTTAAAATGCATAATAGGGGCTCTTAAGCAAACAGAACCATTCGGCACAATAGTGATAAAGCGGTTTTAAAAATAAGGCATTAGTAAGAAGAGCAAAACTGAGAGATGATGAATAAACACACCTGTCACTCAGTGGGATGGAGGAGCTGTGGTCCAGACTGGAGCTGATGGATGCTCTGGAGCTGACGATTGAAGTAGCGGATCCTCTGGGGCTCAAAACAGGTGGAGTAGGAGATTCTTTAGGGGTTATGGGTGGAGTAGTGGATCTTTTAAGGGTTATGGGTGGAGTAGTGGATCCTTTAGGGGTTAAATGTGGAGTAGTGGATCCTTTAGGGGTTAAGGGTGGAGTGGTTGATACTTTAGGGGTCACAATGGGTAGAGTAGTGGATCCTCTGGTGCTGATGGGAGGAGTAGTTGATCCTTTAGGAGCTTCGGGCGGAGTAGTGGATATTTTGGGGGTTAATGGTGGAGTAGTGGATTCTTTGGGGCTGACAGGTGGAGTGGCAGATCCTCTTGGGCTGATGTTGGGTGAAGCAGCAGATCTGCGGCTGACGGATGAAGCACTGGAGCTGTGGCTGACGGATGCTCTGTGTTTTGGTGTCTGGATGAGGAGCTGGAGGATCTCCATCAGAGCGTTCTCTCCATCCTCTCTCTTTATCTCACTGACATCAACCATACTGTGAAGAGCAAGCAGAGAAGCGCACCGCTCAACAATTTAAAGAGTTCACACTAGGCTGATGATTGATAATAAAGCTAGTTTGGTCCCAGTGCTGTCCCAGGAGAGAGCCCTGAGCTTATAAGATCCTCGAGCCCTGGGCTCCCTCCCGTTGCAAGGCAAGAGGGGAGTTTGAGCTCAGGTAGATCTCGATGACTCCCCCTCTTGCTTGTTGTAGCTAAGTGTCAGATATGGATGCTGAAAGGTGTACTCAGAGTTTAGCTAAAGTATTTAGATTAATTGTTTAGAGTGCTTGTTTTTGAACTGTGGGAGGAAACCGGAGGACCCGGGAAAAACCCACGCGACCACGGGGAGAACGAGCAAACTCTGCACAGAAATGCCGTCTGGCTGATAAGGAATTAAACCAGGGGCATTGTTGCTGTGAGGCAACAGCGCTAATCACTGGCCACCGTGACACCCGTTTGAGAGAAGAGAAAGTAGGATTGGGTGGGGGGGTTTCTTCAAGACGAAGATATTGAGATGAGAAAAATCTGGTTATTTTTAGTGAGTTAAGGATCGTCTGATTGGATAATCAGTTATTAGCTAAAGTTGGATCAGCTGTGAACAATCATAAGCACGTGATCCTCTCCAAACTGGTTTATAAATAAACTTCACTTAATAGATGACGTGTGAACTTCAAAAGATTTGTACAAGTATTATTAGCCTTTTTGTGATATGAAACCCTGCAGGCATAATAAAAAACACTGGTGCCCAAAACACACTGGATTAAACATGCTGTAGAAGGTGCTATCTTACAGGAACACAAATATTCTCATTTTACAGCTCTCCTAGAGTTATACAAATAGTTGAGTGTTAGCATTTAATAATATATTCAGCCAATCTCTGGGTCTGGCGGGAGCATTTTTAGCTTAGCTTAGCATAGATCATTGAATCAGATTAGACCATTAGCATCTCACTCAAAAATTACAACAGTTTTAATCATCTTCCTATTTAAAGCTTGACACTTCTGTCATTACATCGTGTATTAAACCAAAGAAAAAATGAAAAGTTGGTCTTTTCTAGGCTGAAATGGCTGGGAACTACGATGACGGTCATGTTTATGGCAAGTTGTCATAAAGGCATCTCAAACAATGACATCTATACATCTACGATGGCACGTCCTGATTTTGCCAAGTGCTAGTTGTCCTGGGACCAACCTTTTTTTAGTGACCAAGGGACAGCAACTCCATCAGCCAATCAAACGCCATCATTATGTGCCCTCTGCAAAGCCCGCAAAAGACTTTTTTTTCCAGCTTAGTGAACATTTAACATTAGTTTGCATTGACAAGTTAGCCTAATTAGCCGTCTATAAAATTTACTTTCTGGCTCCAAGTTAAAACAAGATAACAATTAGAATTTTTTTAATAGTGTGCCTAGCTATCAAACACGATTAAACTTGGTCTTTTTCTAACTCACAGTGACTGCAAATTGGTCTAATAATTCTGTTTTAGTATATACTACAGCTCTGCCCATTTCTGTTTAGGTCGCGTTCAGTTTCATTCAAAAGCACACGGCTGAAATGCAGAACAAATAAACCCTTGTTTATACAAAAGAGAATATTTGAGACCCTGATGTACTGTGATTCACTGTAAAATCCAGGTTGAGTGGATTTAATCATATTACTTATTCTGTTAGATATGAATATGTTGACCTCAGGTCATCATCGCTGATTCATTAATAACGTATCATTAATATAAATATAACATAGCACTGCCGGGTGTGCGCATACATCTCCTTTGCATGTGAACCATTGTAAAATCATACCCAAACACTTGCAATCGGTTAATGAGATCGGCCAGACTGGCAAGTACCGATCAAGACATAAAATGTGATCATCAGCCAATACTGATCTCTAGCCGATTGATTGGAGCATCCAATAATTTCAATTAGAAATTAAAGAAGAGAACCATCTATTCTAAACTGATATTTTAGATGTTATTACCGATGAAATAAAAATGACCTAATTTCTACCCATAAGGCCCGATAATTTATCTATTATTGGTACATTGGCCGTTAAGGTCATCAGTTCACCAAACTCACCACTGTTTGCTGAGTCTAAACACAGATACAGGGACACTGGAGTGTTTTAAAGGGGAAATAGGTTACCCCTTTTTTCAGATTTAATATAAGTGTTTTGCGTCTCAAGAATGTGTATGTAAAGTTTCAGCTCAAAACACCCATCAGATTTTTCATTATACCTTTTACAAGATCCTGTTTTATACATTTTTCCACCAGGGGGCCGTTTTGTCGTACTGCGCCTTTAAGGCGAGTCTACCTTGCCTACTGTTTCTACGTGCCTTTCTGCATATCTTAATCTCCTCCCTCGGCTGCATCAGTCAACAGACAGACTTAAAGGAAAAAGTTTTCATATAGCGTTTGGGAGAAATACTACAGTAAGAACTTTACCAATGAGTATTTGTTGTGCAGTTGCATATCGTTACAAAGTTCATGCGCACACAAACACGCACACGCGCACACGTACACACACACCCCAGCACACGCACCGCAGCACGCACACACCGCAGCACACACACACGCACACACACACACACACACACACACACACACACACACACACGCACACACACACACACACACACACACACACACACACACAGACAGACAGACAGACAGACAGACAGACAGACAGACAGACAGACAGACAGACAGACAGACAGACCGCGCTTAGCTTTGCACTGTTTCTGCACGCATATGTGTCAGGATACAGGTTAACCTCCACTGCTGTGTGGATATCTGTTATGTTAATATAGAAAATAAACCTGATTTAACGTCCACAAAACGGGATTGAAGCGTCTCCCTTTATAATTGTAGTGACACACAGCTGTGCTGCTGAAGTAAAGCTGAAGTAAATCGCTGTACATCATCACACACGTGCACTGATTTAAAACATTTTAAACTTGTGAAATTCACTCTTCTTGATCACGTTTGATGATGATTAAAGATCCTAGCAAACTGGACAGACCTTTTATTCCCGGTTGCTTTGTGCACGTCTGCTCTTGTTGACATGATTATACACGTGACTACCGGAACATGTTAATGCGCTCAGCTGTCAATCAATTCGGTGGGCGGGGGGGCGGCACTCATACATCAAGTTGCAGTCGATCTGAGAACTGCTCCAATTGGTCCACCGTTTTTACATTGTTAAATTGAGAAAAAAGGACTGGGTGTGTTTATATCAGCCCAATATGATGGTCTATACACTATATATATATATACACATGTCTGTCCAAACAGCTTGAAAAGTAGATTTTTCACCATAGGTGCCCTTTAAAGCCTTGATTCATCAGCAGATTGTTCATTTGTCAGCTTATAGAAGAACCAGCTGATCAACATGACTTTAAAACACTCCAGTGTATCTGTGGTTACAATCAGTCAACAGAGGTGAGTTTGGTGAACCTTCACAGCCAATCACAGTAATTTCTGTTGAGCAGGTGAACACAATGGCAAATCAGCGCTGTTTAAGAAAGTGCTCAATAGAGCTCAAATGTAAGCAGGAAATAGATGTTTTAAAAATCCAGACCAACACAGTTTTATAAAGAATTACTTTCCATTTGTATATTTCTATCCTTTTTCTTATCCAGATAAAGATGTTGTGTTGTGTCCAAAATACAGCTTTCAAAAGTTAATTTTGCATAATAGGTGCCCTTTTTAAGTAAAAGTGTTACCAACACTGAAATCTGAAAATAGACCATGGTGGTTTTATAAAGAGTAAATGTCTATTCCTAAAATTGACATCCTCTGCTATGGATCAAAGTGGTCTTCTTGAGAATATTTTCAGCACTGTAGTCTTAAAAGAGTCTGAGACGTGGACTGATGCTGTCTGTGGCTAAAAAACAGTCGAGACAGCAGTCCCAGCAGACGCCAATGTCAAACTGACATGCAGTGCCCTTGAAGGCAGACCTCAGGACAGGAAAAGTACGAATAAAACCAGGAGCCTTTGCCTACGCATCTTCAAGAATCCTGGATTTGTCAGCCTGAAGATGTTGTGAATATAAGATGCATTAAATAAATCTTCAGTGTGTAAACGCTCGGCCCTCTTTACATTTAGATGTGTGGCTTTTCAGATTTACGGTTTCCATCTGTGAAGACACGGGTGTCCTTGAAGGCAATAACACACCGTGTATCATGTATTTTATAGCAGTCGACTGTTCACACCTGCTCACTTCATGTGCTTTTCAAATCAGACAGCTAAACCATAGTGAAAACCACAGGTGTAAACTAAACACATTGGACGCAGATATAAATCCAATCCCCTGAATACCGACAACACTTTACTTGAAGGGGTGCTCATGAGACTGTCATGAAACCTTTATAATCATAATATAACATCTCATGAATGTAAAAGAGATTTTATTCATGCTTATGACTGTCATTAAGTGTCATTCGTTCAGTTGTGGCATTTTAAATGCAATGATGACAATAGCCCCTTTCACACATACACACCTTTCCGGATTATTACAGGCAATTTTCTGGAAAGGTGTGTATGTGTGAAAAGGCCCTTTTTGAAAACACCGGTAAATTCGTTCTGGCTATTTTCCGGCAAGAGAAGTTGTAAGATTACCGGTAATTTGCCGGAACGCTGCACTGTGTGAACGCAGAAGGAAGATTGCCGGAAAGAGCGCGTGCACGTCTAGAACGTGCTGACGTGAGACGTCTGCTTTAGCCAATCAGAACAGTCAGAAACATTCACGTTCGCACGGTTTATGAGAATAAAAGCCTTTGAATATTTTCCCAGACACATTTAGCTGCTAGATGTTAGTCAGATAACGATTATGTGTTCATCTTAATGCCAACCGTGTAAATAATTATCGATAAGATGCTTATGATAAGCCGCTGTTTGTTTACCTTCAAGTTTTGCGTGTGCCCGTGAAACAGCACGTGAGCACCAGCACACACACATATCATGTACATCTCGACATGTGAAAGTGTTTCTCTATGTGTTTTTATCGAAGTTGTTCACAATACTGATCATCCACAGAGTTTGTGATGTAGTCAAATGTTTACAAATACAAGCGCAGCCATTTAGAGGTAATTTCTGGTTTATGACGTCAGAATTTACCGCTATTTTGGAATGGATGTGTGAAAAATTCCGTAACGTCCTCGCCTGTGTGAACAGCACTTTTTTAAATTTACTGGTAAAGTCGTTCTGTAAATTTTCCATATATTTACTGGTATCACTGTGTGAAAGGGGCTATTGTTTGTTATGAGAACTTGACTTATACATCACAACCCGTTTTCTCTTTGTCATGACAACACAACTTGTCATAAATCCATCATAAACATAATTGTCATGATTCAATTAGGTGAGTTTTTATTTAAAACAGAAAAAAGTAATATACCAATGGTGTACGTGAAATAATATTATTTCAAAACAAGAATAAGATTATTTTGCTTATCCCATGTATTATTGTATAAATATATTATTAAATCATACATACAATTAATATTCCTATTTTCTAATATTAATAAAATAAAAACTATTATACATAATTAAGCTGTAGTATATATATATATATATATATATATATATATATATATATATATATATATATATATATATATATATATATTAATATTATTATTTATTTTATTTATTTTATTTATTTATTTATTTTTTAATCTAATGCTTTCAATAGGGTATATGCAGAGCTAGTGTTGTTCCCATACTGATAAACTTCCGGTGATCTGTTTTTTTTCCATTTTATACGGTTCCTTTTACAGCATGGATGTTAAAATGTAATTAAAATTTAATCAGTTAAACAGACTCTGGCATTCATGTAGTTGCTCAAGCGTAAAACGAGACAGAAAGCCATTTACTCACATGCGCCCTTCATGCGCAGAAGCTCCATTGAATATACTGGGGTAAAATAAATGCTCTTATTATAAATACAAGGGAGGGGGGGTTGTGGAGGGGAATGTAGTTTAATGCAGTGCTTCTTGTACAATCTGAGACCCACTTTATATCGGATATCACTCAGCCAGTGGAGATCTCTGATTTTTAAAGAAAACAGAACCTAAACGCAACGATTTAGCATTGGCATACAGTTCACCGATTAACCCAGGTTACTGGCAGATTAAAAGTCCTGTTAGCATGCTTTGATATATACCATATTAAAGGAGAGCATCCAGCCTAGAGCCAACAGCAGCTGCTCCCGACAACAAATCAGAACATAACAACAATTGTTTTAAAATAAACAATTCTGCAGAAGCAAAAGCTGCTGTGTCATAAAAATAAACATAAGCCGCTATATCGGTAGTTTAAAATAGAGTGTAAACAAGAGCATAGAATCACCAAGAGGCCACACTCTAGAGTAATTTTGAAAACTCCAATAGAACAACAGCATATTATAATTCTGTAAAACAAACTATTAAAAGTGCTGATGATTGGGATAGTTAGTGTTGTATTGTCGTATTTCAGGTTGTATCTCAGCTTTTTAAATACATAAATGAAAAACAAAGCTGCTGCATGCTATCACGACAGCAATAAGATCCAATGGACAGCCGATCGCTTTCACTCCAAAATGGCGGAATCCGGGGCTGCTGCAATGGAACGTTCTATAGATTGTCGCCTCTTGGTCATTCTAAGCTCTTTGGTATAAACAAAAACAAAAGTAAGCAGAGTGTTTGTGTTTGAATGTAATGAAACCCTCCTTACTGTTTGAGCTTTTGGATCTTGTGGATCACGAGCAGTTGTGGGTTTTCATCCTTCAACATCTTAGAGACATCCATGAGGTTGTGTCGAACCTGCAGAGGAAACAGCACAAGATGGAAACTACATTTAGAGTTCACAACCAGACTCATATCATTAGCAGACCGAATTATGCAGAGAAACCTTAAGCTAAATAAAAGAAAAAATAATACAAAGTTTATACAAACACTATTAGGGTACCATATTATTATACTATTATTAAATACTACAAATAAAATACATTTTCCTTTAGATAGTCCCTTTATTCATCAGGGGTCACCACATTGGAATCAACCGCCAACTATTCCAGCATATGTTTTACGCAGCGGATGCCTTCCAGCTGCAACCCAGTACTGGGAAACACCCATACACACATTTTCTCTCTCTCTCTCTCACACACACACACAATTTACATTCAGTGTGGTTCATTTACAGTTGAAGTCAGAATTATTCGCCCCCTTTTGCTTTTTATTTTCTTTTTTAAATATTTCCCAAATGATGTTTAACAGAGCAATGAAATGTTCACAGTGTGTCTGATAATATTTTTTCTTCTGGAGAAAGTCTTATTTGTTTTATTTCGGCTAGAATAAAAGCAGTTATTAATTAAAAAAAAAAAAATTTTGGGACAAAATTATTAGCCCCTTTAACCTAATTTTTTTTTCGATAATCTACAGAACAAACCATCGCTATAAATTAACTTGACTAATGACCCTAACCTGCCTAGTTCACCTTATTAACCTAGTTAAGCCTTTTAATGTCACTTTAAGCTGTATAGAAGTGTCTTGAAAAATATCTAGTCAAATATTATTTACTGTCATCATGGAAAAGATAAAATAAATCCGTTATTAGAAATAAGTTTTTAAAACTATTATGCTTAGAAATGTGCTGAAACAATCCTCCCAGAACAGAACAGAAATTGGGAAAAAAAAATAAACAGGGGCGCTGCTAATTCAGGGGGGCTAATAATTCTGACTTCAACTGTATATCCTACAATGCTGTTTGTTGTGGTACTGTTTAAGTGTGTTCCTTTGCTCTGCCAATATAGCTGTGTTTCTATGCTTCTGTTTACTTTGTTATTTGCACAGCAGCACTGTAGAGCTGTCTATAGTGTTAAGCAGGAGAAAACACTGTGCTGTATTTCATTCATCAAAGATTTTGTGCATCTGTTTTGTTGTAAACAGAGAGGGAAACCCTGGTGTTTGAATTATATTTTGCTCAAAAAATGTTTAATAAAGTTTTAATAAAGGCTTTAACTCTCAAGTAACCATTTACAGGAAAAATACTGGATATATATTGCATACTATCATTCCTCCTAAAAATACTGAGATATGATTTTTTGCCCATATCGCCCAGCCCGATCTTAAATCATTAAAAGTTTTTTATCATTCCGATTTTTTAAAGCGTTTGAACATTTTTATGCACTTATGTATATTATATCATCTTTGTGTTAAATTAAAAAAAAAGAAAAATACCCCTTATGCAAGTCAGGGCTCAAAACTAACTTTTTCATTTGGTAGCACCAGTGCTCCCAACTTCAAAAATTTAGGAACACCAGAAAACAATTTAGGAGCGTCCACCAAAAATGAATGAGCACTGATTTACTGTATTTTAAAACAGCATCAATTAGGACTAACAAAACCCAGAAACAACTATCTAACTAATGCTGAGATGACATTGATATTTGTGTGCAATAATTTCAAAATGAATGTCGAATAATTATAAAATATTAATGATGATGAAAATGACAATAGTTCTAACAATGAATTACATTTCTCATCATCATGCTGCCTTGAATGTGCTTGAATGCGAGTTATCTGCTGTAAAACTCTGTTTACTTTATGAAAAATAATTGTATAGTTTGCATCAAACAAAAATGAAGCATTGCAGTAAGAAATATTTATTTTGTACTGCTGTTTATATACGCATGTCAGTTTAATACATAATATTTCTGCTACAAAACAAACAAAAGATTATAATAAATAATTAAATTCAATGCTGAAAGCTGCAAAACAGTCATCAGCAACTAAATAAAAATATTAATAATATACACCTCAAGAAAGAACAAAAAAAAAGTAAAGTCTCACTTCTATCACTCAGTTTTGGTTTCAGTTTGTGTCAATTTAAAGGTTCAGTCTGAGCTGATTTTCATTTTTCTGTGTTTGTGGAACAGCAGGAGATTCAGCCGACCCAATTTATGAGCAAGTTGAGCAGGATACTTGCGATGACCACCGGCGCAATATCGCTGTTTGTTATGAAACGCAGTTTCAGTGTAAACTTAGTAAAGGCGATGATATGTACAGCATTACTTTTGACTTTTACTGGACATTTGCGCTGAACACGCAGTGAATGCAACGATTCGGGAGCCTTCTCCGAAAAGCATGTACTCGATTAATCTCAGCTGGCGGATTAATATTCACCACGTGTCATGATCGCTCTCATCTGCGCCTCAACTTTAGTTTGCATTTCCCGTGGTCATAAAAGCTCCCTGTCATCTGACAGCGGAATACCTTGTGATTGACAGCTAATATGAACCAATATAGCGGCAGGGAAGAGCGATTCAGCACGTTTTTAGAAAAAATCAAAACAGATCGCACTACAGCCATTATCTGCAGTCGCACTAATGCTCCCATATATATTATAAGGTCGCATAGATTAGTTTTTGGGCGCATATGCAACCAAAATAGTCGTAATTTCGAGCCCTGCAAGTTGTTTCTAATGCAGGGTCTATGGGGCGGAGAGTAAATCTGACATTATTCTCTCCTCTTGCTGCCGTCATCAGTTTCTCACAAATTATTCCTCTTTCTGAAAGTCTTGATAACACCATTCAGTTTTTTTATTATTTCAGCAATTTTATTATAGAGTTGTATTATTATTATAATTTTAATTTAATTATTATTCACTGTACTCTAGGCCTGGGTGGTAATACAGTTATTTGGTATACCACAGGATCTAAAAACAGCAAAGATATCAGTTTCAATACCGTTATACCATCATAAAAACAATGCACTTGTATAGGAGACAATGATTCAATATTAAATTTAGTTTATTTATTGTGGTTGTCATCACGGTACAGTGTGGATGAGAAAGAGAGAGGTGGGGATAGATGGCGAGTTGAACACCAAATGACCTAGTCTCAAAATAGACTAATTTTGCAGTATTTCGGGTTGCGACCGAACATGAAGGGAGAGGCGGTAAATAAGCATAAGGCCATTTGCAAATTGTGCAAGAGGTTACTGCAAGAGATGGAAGTACCTCGAACCTTAGGTCACATATGTGGCATTAAGTGTCTGTATGGTTTAGGCGCTCACCACGCGTTTGGTGACACTGTCTGAGCCTTACGTCATCATTTTTTAATCATGCACAGTAATACAGTTTACCAAGGTAAAACAGGGAGGAGGTTTGACAGTTCTCTAGATACCACTCAAGCCCAAGTTTACCCAATTATGACACCCTTCTACTACTGAGAAACCCGGAAATGTGAAAAGAGTCTATTAACATATGCAAGTGTCCTGTGATGGGGAAAGATTTACCAGTATGGAGACGATCCTGGGACGCAGCTCTGGGTTATGTGCATCTATAAACTGGTAGGTGACCTTCGCCATGTCAGCAGCTTCTGTCCTCTTCCCAGCATCCAGCAAACATTCAACCAGATGTCTGAATACACAAAAACATGATATATGAGCCTCCATTCAGTCAGATGCATCCAGACGGCCTCTGCTTCAATTCACAATGCATCAAAGTCTAAAGTCAAGGCAAAGATCCAGACTCAATTTAAAATCATTGACAAGCCTCTTTAAACTTTTATTAGAGCTTTCATTGTGCTTCAGGGTTACAAGCGTATAATAAAATAGGCATAAAAGGGTGTGATCATATCATACGGATGTATAGTTGACTTTAAACACACTGACAATCCATCGCTGGACAGTTTTCTCAGTTTAAGTGCTGGTAGTTAATGAGCATTTGCGGATTTAATCATCCTTTCTCAATCAGACCGATGCCACTGTGGCAGAAAAGTGATGGCAAGACCATACTGTAACGGGATGGAAGTATTCTCATTATTCTGAACACATGGAAGAAAAGGAAACGGGACTGTCTCAATAGACAGTGATTTTACTTCACTAGTAAGAGTGGTTATGTTATTCACACTTATGTTAATTTGGCAAGTTAGGGTAATTAGAAAGTAAAATGACTATGATGAGTACAAAAGTGCAAAACCCACAGCATCAGCTCAGCTCTCCATGCGTGATCCGGATCCTGAACCTCCTCCAGAGCCTTGAGAACCTGCGAGAGTGAATTCACCAGGAGATGCCGCTGACCGGGCCTCAGGAACCGCCGGACCGCTTGGAAGTACAGCAGAGAAGCGTTGAAGACTAGGAAATGGTATCTGATTAAAGGAGGAGGGAGAAAAAAAGGAGAATAAATAGAGTGGCATAATTTATGGCAATTATTCAATTCAGATTGCAATTTTTTAAGACAAAAATAATATACAGTTGAAGTCAGAATTATTCACCCCCTGTTTATTTTTTCCCCAATTTCTGTTTAACAGGGAGAAGCTTTTTTTTGACACATTTCTAACCCTAATATTTTTAATAACTCGTTTCTAATAACTGATTTATTTTATATTTGCCATGACAGTAAATAATATTTTATTCTGTACTGATATTCTTCAAGACACTTCTATACAGCTTAAAGTGACATTTAAAGGCTTCACTAGGGTAATTAGGGTAATTAGGCAGGTTAGGGTAATTAGCCAAGTTATTGTATAACGATGGTTTGGGACTTATATTGAGCTTAAAATGGTGTTTAAAAAATTCAAAACTGCTTTTATTCTAGCCGAAATAAAACAAATCAGACTTTCTCCAGAAGAACAAATATTATCAGACATACTGTAAACATTTCCTTCCTCTGTTAAACATCATTTAGGAAATATTTAAAAAAAGAAAAGAAAAAAAAACATAAGGGGGGCGAATAATTCTGACTTCAACTGTATATAGATAGACTAGAAAAAAGATGTATGGATAGACTGGGATTAAAAATGATGGATGGATAAATTAGGATTAAAATTGATGTATGAATAGACTGGGACAAAAATTAATAGATAGTCTTGAACAAAAAAGATGGACGGATAGACTGGGACAAAAAAGATGGATGGATAGAATGGGATTAAAATAATGGATGGATAGACTGGGACAAAATAGGGATTATAGATTGGGACACAAAATATAGATGGATAGACAAGGACAAAAAAAATGAAGATAAATGGATAGACTGGGACAAACACAAAGGGATAAATAGACTGGGATAAAAAGATGGATGAACAGACTGGGACAAAAAAGGGATTAACAGACTGACACAAAAAGATAAATGGGTAGACTGGGATTAAGATTTATGGATGGACAGACTGGGACAAAAAGATTGATGGATAGACTGGGACAAAACAAAAGGAGAAATAGACCAGGATTAAAAATGATGGATGGCTGGATGGATAAAATAGTATTAAAAAATATGGATGGATAGACTAGAATTAAAAGGATAGACTGAAACAAAAAAGATAGATAAATAGACTGGGGCTAAAATAATGGATGGACAGGCTGCGACAAAAAAGGATGATGAATTCGGACAAAATATAGATAGATAGACAAGAACAAAAAAGGATAAATAGACTGGGACAAAAAAGATGGATAAATAGACTGGGATTAAAATAAAGGATAAATAGACTGGGATTAAAATAAAAGATAAATAGACTGGGATTAAAATAAAAGATAAATAGACTGGGATTAAAATAAAGGATAAATAGACTGGGATTAAAATAAAGGATAAATAGACTGGGATTAAAATAAAAGATAAATAGACTGGGATTAAAATAATGAATAAATAGACTGGGACAAATAAGGATAAATAGACTGGGATTAAAATAATGGATAAATAGACTGGGACAAATAAGGATAAATAGACTGGGATTAAAATAATGGATAAATAGACTGGGACAAATAAGGATAAATAGACTGGGATTAAAATAATGAATAAATAGACTGGGACAAATAAGGATAAATAGACTGGGATTAAAATAATGGATAAATAGATTGGGACAAATAAGGATAAATAGACTGGGATTAAAATAATGGATAAATAGACTGGGACAAATAAGGATAAATAGACTGGGATTAAAATAATGGATAAATAGACTGGGATTAAAATAAAGGATAAATAGACTGGGATTAAAATAATGGATAAATAGACTGGGATTAAAATAATGAATAAATAGACTGGGACAAATAAGGATAAATAGACTGGGATTAAAATAATGGATAAATAGACTGGGACAAATAAGGATAAATAGACTGGGATTAAAATAATGGATAAATAGACTGGGATTAAAATAATGGATAAATAGACTGGGATTAAAATAATGGATAAATAGACTGGGACAAATAAGGATAAATAGACTGGGATTAAAATAATGGATAAATAGACTGGGACAAATAAGGATAAATAGACTGGGACAAAGAGATGGACGATAGACTGGGATTAAAATAATGGATGGATAGACTGGGACAAAAAAATGTACGGATGGATGAAAAAGAAGGATATAGACTGGGACAAAAAAGATGGATGGATGGAGTGGGACAAAAAAATGGATGGATAGACTGAGACAAAAAGATGGATGGATGGAGAGGGACAAAAAATGGATGACAGATGTAAAAAGACAGATGTAAATGATATCTGATGAAAGAGGAATGAGGCGGGGGAGAAAAAGCAGAATAAAAATAGTGGCGTTAATTATTCAGGCCATCACTGTTGGGAAGATCAGAATCCGATTTCTCACTACATCTCAATTTATCCCTCAGATCTGAGACCTAGTGAAAGTGTAATGAGCAAAGAGCCACAGGAGAGCTCAATGTCCACCAGAAATACAGCAATTATTGCAGGATGGCAGGAGTCGACACAAAAGAGGCTTGAAGACTCTATTCCAGCGGCTAATTTATCCACCAGAGAGAGCGGCGTGTGTTTTAGCAGAGAGTTTCTGAGATTTTCCCTCTGGTAGAGTCACTGTAGAGCCAGTAATACAGAGATTACAGTCATCATTGGCCAATTAAAGTGTACAGAACATCCCATCATTGGCTGAGGCCCGAGAGTCGGACGTCTCTGGAGAGTTTGCTGCTTTTTTAATGTGAATATTTCAGATTTCCTCCCGCAGGAGTCTCTTTGTGTGGAGGCGACCGGGCTTCATGATTGATGATCCGCGGAGCGCTTTAACATCTGAATTCTGCACACGCATGTCGAAGCCTGAAACTATTTCCTCCTCATTTCAGAAGATCTAACAAGTTGTTTCATATGTTGAAAAAGTGAAGATGCTTTGCTGGAAACATTACAAACCCCTGCTGTTAAGAGGAAATACGAGAGAGCGAGTGTCAATATGTGCACACTGCAATTCACAATAATGAGGAATAATGAGGTTTGGAATGAGGAGTATTTTTAAATGAATATGTTTCTGAAGATTTTTCTGCTAAACAAAACTCAATTTATTTGAAAGTAAAACAATAATATTGTGAAATATTATTTTATGTTTTATTATGTTACATTATTTTAAATATTATTACATGTTTTGTGGTGTTATTTATTACTGTGAAGTTAATTATTGCTGCATTTCTCAGTGTCAAATATTCTTTCAGAAATCTGTATAATATATGATTTGATGGTCAAGAAAAAAGTTAATTAATAATTTTCAAAACAGTTGACATTTTTTGTAGAAACTTAGTAGAGGTGACATTTTTAAAATAAGAAAGAAATTTAATTTGAATTAAATTGATAAAGTGATGTAAAGACACAATCTTTATTAAATAATAATATTTTATTCCATTATTTACATTTATAATGTTCAGAGCTGTTCTTTGGCATTTTCATTAAAACAATTTAAATAAAAAAGTTGGATGGAGATTCTGGGACTAAAAAAAGATGGATGATAGACCGGACGGACGGACGGACGGACGGACGGACGGACGGACGGACGGACGGACGGACGGACGGACGGACGGACGGACGGACGGACGGACGGACGGACGGACGGACGGACGGACGGACGGACGGACGGACGGACGGACGGACGGACGGACGGACGGACGGACGGACGGACGGACGGACGGACGGACGGACGGACGGACGGACGGACGGACGGACGGACGGACGGACGGACGGACGGACGGACGGACGGACGGACGGACGGACGGACGGACGGACAGACAGACAGACAGACAGACAGACAGACAGACAGACAGACAGACAGACAGATAGATAGATAGATAGATAGATAGATAGATAGATAGATAGATAGGGACAAAAAGATGGATAGATAGATTGGGATAAAAAAGATGGATAGATAGATAGATAGATAGATAGATGGATAGATGGATAGATGGATAGATAGATAGATAGATAGATAGATAGATAGATAGATAGATAGATAGATAGATAGATGGATAGATGGATAGATGGATAGATATAGATAGATAGATAGATAGATAGATAGATAGATAGATAGATAGATAGATAGATAGATAGATAGATAGATAGATAGATAGACAGACAAAAAGATGGATAGATAGACTGGGATAAAAAAGATGGATAGATAGACTGGGATAAAAAATATGGATAGATAGACTGGGATAAAAAATATGGATAGATAGACTGGGACAAAAAGATGGATAGATAGACTGGGATAAAAAATATGGATAGATAGACTGGGATAAAAAAGATGGATGGATAGATAGATAGATAGATAGATAGATAGATAGATAGATAGATAGATAGATAGATAGATAGATAGATAGATAGATAGATAGATAGATAGATAGATAGATAGATAGATAGATAGATAGATAGATAGATAGATAGATAGATAGATAGAGAGAGAGAGAGAGACAAAAAGATGGATAGATAGATAGATGGATGGATAGATAGATAGATAGATAGATAGATAGATAGATAGATAGATAGATAGATAGATAGATAGATAGATAGATAGATAGATAGATAGATAGATAGATAGATAGATAGATAGATAGATAGATAGATAGATAGATAGATAGATAGATAGATATGCATAGATAGATAGATAGATAGATAGATAGATAGATAGATAGATAGATAGATAGATAGATAGATAGATAGATAGATAGATAGATAGATAGATAGATAGATAGATAGTGCTCAATTTGCTGCACCTACAACAAACACGCAAGGTACACCACCAACACCACACACACTCACCTCTTTTTCTCAGCTCTCTGAGTCTGAGGTGTCCAAACTGGTGCTATCTAGCCATGCAACCACCTGTCCACTCGATCCCATTCCCTCTCATCTCTTGCAAGCCATCTCTCCTGCAGTCATACCAACACTGACTCTCATAATCAACACATCTCTTGACTCTGGTTTATTCCCCACTTCATTTAAGCTGGCAAGGGTAACCCCACTGCTAAAGAAACCCAACCTGGATCATACGCTACTTGAAAACTACATACCAGTATCCCTGCTTCCATTCATGGCCAAGATTCTGGAGAAAGTAGTGTTCAATCAAGTTCTGGACTTTCTTACTCAAAACAATCTCATGGACAACAAGCAATCCGGCTTTAAGAAGGGCCACTCAACTGAGACTGCCCTGCTCTCGGTCGTGGAGGATCTCAGACTGGCTAAAGCAGACTCAAAGCAGTCCTCATTTTGCTGGACTTGTCAGCTGCTTTTGACACTGTAAACCACCAGATCCTGCTATCTACGCTTGAGTCACTGGGCGTTGCGGGCACTGTTATACAATGGTTTAGATCTTACCTCTCTGACAGGTCATTCAGGGTGTCTTGGAGGGGTGAGGTGTACAACCTACAGCATCTAAACACTGGGGTACCTCAAGGCTCTGTTCTTGGGCCACTTCTCTTCTCCATCTACACATCATCTTCAGGATCAGTCATCCAGAAACATGGATTCTCCTACCACTGCTATGCTGATGATACCCAGCTATACCTCTCTTTTCACCATGATGATCCCTCGATTCCAGCTCGCATCTCAGCCTGCCTGTTGGATATTTCACACTGGATGAAAGATCATCATCTTCAGCTGAACCTCGCGAAAACAGAAATGCTTGTAGTTTCTGCCAACTCGACTCTACACCATAACTTTTCAATCCAGATGGACGGGGCAACCATTACTGCATCCAAAATGGTGAAAAGCCTTGGAGTAACGATTGATGACCAACTAAACTTCTCTGAGCACATCTCTAGAACTGCTTGATCGTGCAGATTCGCACTCTACAACATCAGAAAGATCCGACCGTTCTTATCTGAACATGCAGCTCAACTCCTTGTTCAAGCTCTTGTTCTCTCCAGACTGGACTATTGCAACTCTCTACTAGCCGGGCTTCCAGCTAACTCTATCAAGCCTCTTCAACTGCTCCAGAATGCAGCAGCACGAGTGGTCTTTAATGAAGCTAAACGAGCACATGTCACTCCGCTGCTCATCCGTTTGCACTGGCTGCCAGTTGCTGCTCGCGTCAAATTCAAAGCTCTGATGTTTGCCTACAAAGTGACTTCTGGCTTTGCTCCTTCTTATCTGCTCTCACTTCTGCAGATCTATGTACCCTCCAGAAACTTGCGTTCTGTGAATGAACGTCGCCTCGTGGTTCCATCCCAAAGAGGGAAAAAATCACTTTCGCTCACGCTCGCGCTCAATCTGCCCAGTTGGTGGAATGAACTCCCTAACTGCATCAGAACAGCAGAGTCACTCGCTACTTTCAAGAAACGACTAAAAACTCAACTATTTAGTCTCCACTTCACTTCCTAATCTGTAATTGCCTCTCTGAATATCACACTAACTGTACAAAAAAAAAAAACTAATACTACTAATACTTCCCTTCTTAGACTTTACAGACCTGAAACTTGCTTATAGCACTTATTCATTGTTGCTCTTAGTTGTGTAAATTGCTTCCTTGTCCTCATTTGTAAGTCGCTTTGGATAAAAGCGTCTGCTAAATGACTAAATGTAAATGTAAATGTAAATGTAGATAGATAGATAGATAGATAGATAGATAGATAGATAGATAGATAGATAGATAGATAGATAGATAGATAGATAGATAGATAGATAGATAGATAGATAGATAGATAGATAGATAGATAGATAGATAGATAGATAGATAGATAGATAGATAGATAGATAGATAGATAGATAGATAGATATAGATAGATAGATAGATAGATAGATAGATAGATAGATAGATAGATAGATAGATAGATAGATAGATAGATAGATAGATAGATAGATAGATAGACTGGGATAAAAAAGATGGATAGATAAACTGGGACAAAATAGGCTGGACAAAAAATATGGACAAATAGACTGGAACTAAATTTATAAATAGATGAACAGAAAAGATGGATGGATAGACTGAGACAAACACAAAGATGAAAGATAGACTGGCACAAAAAAAGAAGATCGAGACTCCACTGGAACTGAAAATGAGAGCTCGGTAATGGCTCAGGATGTGCAATCAAAAGTCAAATATGTAAATCTTTATTTTATTCAAATCTGTCAAACATTGCTGATCCATGCCATCAAATCTGTTCATCTAATAAAGAGCAATCTCTGAAAAACAATTCAATCAGTGTTTTCATAATTATTCAGGCTTTTTTAGATGTGCTACATCAGAGAGATGAAATAAACACCGCCTGTCTGGTGTTTCCTCTGTCTGGATGGTTTACTCTACCTGCACTTGTCTTTGGCAATCTCTATGGCCTTCAGGAAGCACATCACAGCCTTCTCCAAGTCCTCCTGGAAACACAACAACAGCAGAAATATGGACAAAACGAGAGGTGTGAAGGACAGATTTCTTCCTGTGAAGCAGAAACGAGTCTCCTGCAGCTCAGTGGATTCACAATACTGACAGCAGGACATGATATACATACTAAACACAGCACACACACACTGAGGGACACAGCACATGCGGCGGAGCAGACGACTGTTTTGGCAGTGCTGTGTGGACGTGCAAACACCAGGTATTCTGCAGAGCTGGTTCTGTGTTTTCATTGACTTTATTTTCATAGGGATTTATGAAGACTTATCAGAGATTGTAAATGCTGAGTCCGGATTACAATTCAGAAGACGTGTTTTGTGGAGTCCCCGCAAAGTTTAATTAAAGTCAAAGTTTATCACTTGCATGTGGTTTTCATTTTAAAAGATTGTAAATCATTTGGGCACAAGAAATTGTAAAGTTTGCATTTATATGATGAAGACGGATGCCACAGCCATGTCACCCTGCAGCCCAAGAGCGGTTACTCACTGCAGCTAAGCCTGGTCAGTGTCTGGATGAGAGACCACATGGGAACACTAGGTTGCTGTTGGAAGTGGTGTTAGTGAAGTCAGCAGGGGGTGCTCAACCTGTGGTCTGTGTGAGTCCTAATGTCCCAGTATAGTAAAGGGGACACCATACTGTCAGTGAGCGCCGTCTTTCAGATGCGACATTAAACTGTGGTCCTGACTGCGACATTAAACTGTGGTCCTGACTCTCTGTGCTCATTAATAAACACTTACGGTAAAAAGTAGGGGTGTAACCCCGGTATCCTGGCCACATTACCCATCATGTCCTCCCAATCATCCCCATCCACTGAATTGGCTCTATCACTCCACCTATAGCTGGTGTGTGGTGAGCACACTGGCGCTGTTGTCCTGCACACTGGTGGTGGTGTGGAGAGACCCCCCTCATGATTGTTAAGCACTTTGGGTATAAGCCAAACACGGTAAATGCACTATATAAATACACATTGCAAGACTGAACAGTCTTATCTTACATTATTCAATATCTGCAACAGAATTGAATCACATTGTATTTTTCTACACTTGCAGCTTGTTCATTACATTTTATGCAGATGCAACGCCTATGTGATGGGTATTAATCAGAGTTTATTAATTTAATGTATTTCACTAATTGTCTCTTTTTGTAATTTTCCTGCATTTGTTTTGCATTTATTTGTTTTAAAAACAATCACTTACTATAATTGATGTGTTACCATAGCAACTATATAATCACCACAACAAATCAATTACTATAGTTGCTGTTACCATAGCAACATAACATTCTGTAGTTGTAGAAAACTACAGTACTGACTCATTTGTTTATATTATTATAGTTGTTGTGTTACCATAGGGACTGCTGAATCATTGTGACAGATCAATTGATATAATTGTTGTGTTACCATAGCAACTGTAGAATCTTCACAACAGATCAACTACTATAGTTGTTGTTACCATAGCAAATATAGAATCACCACAATAGATTAATTGCTATGTGTGTTACTATAGCAACTAAAATCACCAGAGCAGATCAATTACTTCAGTTGTTGTGTTACCATAACAACTGCAGAATCACCACCATAGATCAATTATTATAGTTCTTGTGTTACCATAGCAACTACGAAATCATCATGACAGATCAATTACTATAACTGTTGTGTTACCACAGCAACTATAGAATCACCACAGCAGATCAATTACTATACTTCTTATGTTACCGTAGCAACTACAGAGTCACCACAACAGATCAATTACTATAGTTGCTGTGTTACCATGGTAAATGTAGAATCATAACAACAGGTCATATACTATAGTTGTTGTGTTTCCCTAGCAATTGTAGAATCACCATAACAGATCATTTAATATACTAGTTGTGCTGCCGTAGCAACTACAGAATCACCACAACAGATCAATTACTATAGTTGTTGTTACCATAGCAACTATACAATCACCACAACTGATCAATTGCTATAGTTGTTGTTACCATAGCAACTATACAATCACCACAACTGATCAATTGCTATAGTTGTTGTTACCATAGCAACTATACAATCACCACAACTGATCAATTGCTACAGTTGTGTTAACCATAGCAACTATAGAATTACCACAACAAATGAATTACTATAATTGATGTTACCATAGCAACATAACATATTCTGTAGTTGTAGAAAACTACAGTACTGACTCATTTGTTTGTATTATTATAGTTGTTGTGTTACTATAGCAACTACAGAATCATCGTGACAGATCAATTACTGTAATTGTTGTGTTACCATAGCAACTGTAGAATCATCACAGCAGATCAATTACTTTAGTTGTTGCGTTACTATAGCAACTGTAGAATCACCACCGCAGATTAGTTCAAGTAATTTTCAATAGTTTGGTTCAAAGACACTACAGTATTTATAATAAATGAGCAGTGGGAATGACACTGTAAACGAGTAGAAAAAACAGACAAACACAAGAGGACTAATTAAAAAGTGACTACACAAACAGTATGGAAAGTATTCAATTCAAAAGTCCAATGCACAATCTCTCAGCTCAAACTTACTGATAATTAAATTAATTCCCCTATGGAGAGGAAGAATGTGATTGTACGATTCTTTAGCTACTGCAGTGCTTGTTTACGGTCTGGAATGGATATGGAGTGTGATTTCTCTCCTCTATGGTGAAACACTATAGGCTGTTTGTCATCATATGGTTGTGTCCAGTGTTTGAGGTGTTGTTTAATGAGCTTAGTGAACAGTGTTTTGACGTACCGCTGTGTTAATGGAGCGTGAGGAGATGAGCTGACCCTGGCAGAGATGTGCACGACACAGGAACTGATTCACTGGAGCTTTCCTTTCCCAGAACATCATTAAACAGTCCTCAGCCATTTCCCAGCAGCCCAGCTGAAGACAATAAAAGCACATGGACAGCATCTCAGCCTTACAGTGTAAACTTACTGTTATAGAATTAACCGTTTCATTTAAAAACAAAACAATATCCATGTGCACGCTATCACTGCAAAAATACTTTTCTTCCTTGGAGTTTTTGTCTTGTTTCTAGTCCAAACATTCTATGTTCAAACTTGGTCCTGGAGGGCCGGTGTCCTGCAAAGTTTAGTTCCAACCCCTATCAGACACACCTGGGTTAGCTAATCCAGCTCTTACTAGGCTTTCTAGAAACATACTTGCAGGTGTGTTGAGGCAAGTTGGAGCTAAAATCTGCAGGACACCAGGGGCCTCATGTACGAAGACTTGCGTGGAAATCTTACTAAAACATTGCGTACGCACAAAGCTGTAAATGTGCGTACGCAGAAAAAAATTCAGATGTATGAAACACTGCGTACGCCGAATCTCACGCATATTCTTTTGTACATCCGAATGAACGTGAAACTGAGCGCAACATGCACGAGCACAAAACCCCTACCTGCCTCCTCCCCGTATGAATATGCTAATGACTCTACTTTGGCAAAACCCAACGAAAAAGCAAAGGCAAAAGCAAGCAAGAAGAGAAACTTTGAACAGAATGTGAAATGGAGGTGCTGCTTTCGGAGGTAGACCGGAGAAAAGCGGTGTTATTTGCAAGTTTGTTCTCCGGAATTAACAACAAAAAAAAAAATAGAGTGGGAGAGTTTAGCTGATGCGGTTAACACAGTTGGGTCTGAACATCGCACTGAGTGCATTAGAAAGGAAATAGTGTGATTTATATCTGTAAAATGTTGCGGCACTCATAACAGTCTAAGTGGCGCAGCTCGTAAGACGCATGCCAACATGTATTTACACGTTCGAGCATGAACTCGGTTCGAATCCAGCGTCTGATGAACTATTTTTTTTCCAGCCATGAAGCTGGCGTGTAGCTGCGCATATTCCCACGTTCAGTTCATTGTTAGTAAATCCAAACGTGAGCGATTCTGAGCGTGAAACCTGGCGTACGCAAAGTTTTTGTGCGTACGCAGCGTTGATACATGAGGCCCCAGCCCTCCAGGACCGCGTTTGGACACCCCTGATCTAAACATTCTTAAATCAAGAAGCATAGGCTGCGTCCGAAACCGCATACTTCCATACTATACAGTACGCTAAAATCAGTATGTGAGCCGAGTAGTATCTCCGAATTCATAGAATTCTAAAAACAGTATGCGAGAAGTCACGTCACGTGACTATGTCAAAATAGCGGATGTAGAACATCCGAATTCCATTCATACTTTTCACATTCATACTGTATAGAATGTACTTTTCTAACGGCCGAGTAGTACGTTTAAATTCAAATGAGTAGTAGGTGTTTTCGGAGGCAGCCCCAGTGTCTTGTTTTCAGAAGCAACAAGTCAAAATTAGGTGAGGTTTTCCTTAAAACAAGCTTAATAATCTGATAATGGTGTAAGCTAAATAATCTTGTTTTTGCTTTTTGCTTTTTTTAAAACATAAGTTTACTAAAGGAAAAAAGACTCTATTTATTGCTTGTGTGGAATTTGATTTTTAATTTAAGAATGTTTTGATATTTAAACCAGAAACGAGACAAAACTCTAAATAAGAGAAGCCATTTTGAAGTATAAACATAAATGAATTAATTTATTTGCACATTTATATATATATATATATATATATTTACTGTGTATTGCAATGAGAGTTCATTCAAGAGTTCTAAAAACAGAAGTCTGTTTTAATTATAGGTGGGCATAGATTAATTGTTTTCATCTAGAATAATCTCACTGTAATCTTGAAATTAATCTAAATTAAAATGGGTCATTTGAATTCTGCTGAAGGCATTCAGAATATTAATGACCTTAATCCAACTCAAGTATAACTGAACTGAACAGAAATGGAATTGGAGTATGCATATATAAGAGGCATTTTTGAAGTAAACACCACAATCAAACTATTACTATAGGACTTTTCAACATGTTTTAAGAAACTAAACTGACAGAGATTAAATGAATGCTGCTTGTTTAAACTTATTACTTATTTAAAATTAACTGAAACAACAATTGTTGAGACTTTTTGCAGAGCAACTTAATTGTTTTATGTTCAATCCACTTCAATTTGTGATGTGAACTTAATTAATTCATGTTGCCCCCACACAAATTGATGGTGTGGAACCCTGCCTTTTTCACAGTGTACATTACTTTGTCAATAATAGGCTGTGAAGTTTGTGAAAACACCAGCATTTCTGCTGCTAAGATCTTCTATATTGTGCTCAGCTCAGAGACCGGTTGATGTACGGTAAACTCTAGTGTGAGTTGTGTCTCTTAAAATGCAGAGCAATATTTCAGTCAGTGTACTGTAGGCAGTAAGATATTCAGCAAGAAAGCTCAGTCAGTTTTTTGGGAACAGATTTTGCCATCAGAAACACTTCTACACTGAAACCCCTGAGCCTCAGACATATTTCCCAGATGGCAATAAATATTTTGCCACATCAGGAAGCACATAATGGCCCTCTGAACTTTTTAAAGTGCTGGAACTCAAAAAGTGGAAGATTCAGCATTCAGCGTTACTTCAGACAAGCACAATATATATTATACAGTCCTCCACATGCCAGGGAGATGAATTCACAATGCTCATAACCCATGCTGTCTCAGGACAGATATGCATGAGAGTTACAGCGCTCGCTTATCTGTTTAAGAGTTCTCACTTCACAACTCATTGAGCAAAAGACTGCTGAAGTGCTAGGCTCTTTTGTCAGCTTTTTTTCTTCTCAGGACGGGATGGTTCAGGAGATCAGGAGCAGCGTCGGTTGCTTCAATGGGACGTCTGAATTGCGTCAGCACAAACCAGATGATTTATACACACTCTTAAAGTGGCATGACAATAAAACTGCTCACTTTTCCATCCTCGTGGAAGATCCTGCAGGGTGAAAGCTTCTTAATGTTTATGTGTGTCTATTTGTAACACTGAAGTATAGCTTCTGACTTAAATAAATACAAGTTTACCATTTTATAATGACTACAAAATCTGCCACAATTGCTAGTATTTTTGACACCTGAAATTATTTGAGTTTAATGCATATAGCATGTAATTTTTTTTGCAAATGTACTGCATAGAGAACACTGCTAGTGTATTTTACAGCCTGATCTCGCGGGAAAACGTAGGTATTTTACGTTTTGCCAGTTTAGTGGCTAATTCGAACGAGTTCAGTCGTACGAGATTGTACGATTTTAAAAAGGAGGCGTGGCACCTAACCCCACCCCTAAACCCAACCGTCATTGGGGGATAAGCAAATCGTACTAAATAGTTAATTACTGTAGATCGCACAAATTCATACGTATTAGCCACTAAATCAAAAAGTTACGAATTGCCGTGAGATTGTGTTGGTATTTTACTGCTATTTTCACTGCATGCACTGAATACAATGAGCATCAGTCACGTGCATGTAGTGTAAATAAGATACTTAATTTGACACTAAATGAAGAACGAATTTCTGATGTGAAGAAATCTTCACCTCAGAGGCAAGATATCAGTATCTGGGAGTCTCCGTTCAGTTATATTATAAATAATGCGTTCAGAATGCGCAGTACAGTTAATGATTCACTGATTCAAATGATCTATTAATGCTAGTTTCCCCTTAATATTTCACTGATAAGTTGTTTACTGTATCCAGTAAACAACTTACTGATTCAAATGATCCATTCAGAGTGATTCTCCAGTAAACAACTCATTGATTCAAACAATCCGTTCAGAGTGTCCAGTTAATGATTTACTGATTCCAATGATCTGATCAGAGTGAGTCTCTAGTAAACTCAATTCAAACAATCCATTCAGAGTGACTTTCCAGTTACTAGTTCACAGATTCAAATGATCTGTTCCAAGTGAGTCTCCAGTTAATGATTTACTGATTCGGATAAGTCGACGCGGTGGTGCAGTAGGTAGTGCTGTCGCCTCACAGCAAGAAAGTCACTGGTTCGAACCTCAGCTGGGTCAGCTGGCATTTCTGTGTGGAGTTTGCATGTTCTCCCTGCGTTCGCGTGGGTTTCCTCCACAGTACAAAGACATGCAGTACAGGTGAATTGGGTAAGCTAAATTGTCCATAGTGTATGAGTGTGAATGAGTGTGTATAAGTGTTTTGTAATGGTGGGTTTGCAGCTGGTAGGGCATCCGCTGCATAAAAAACATATGCAGGATGAGTTGGCGGTTAATTCTGCTGTGGCGACCCCAGATTAACAAAGGGACCAAGCCAAAATGAATGAATGAATGAATCAAATGATGTGTTCAGAGTGAGTCTCCAGTTAATGATTTACAAGATCCATTAAAAGCAAGTCTCCAGGGAAAAAATGTAATTAATAAATGTCATATAAAGAATGCTATTTTCAATAAAGTACAATGCATAAAAAGCATCAACTATTACTGCATTTAGTTGAAAAAGTACAGGCTTTTAAATGCACTAAATGCAAAGAGAGTTGAATCTCTCAAAGCTCAGCGTGATCTCACTGCTCATGAAATTTACTATATTCTGAATAAAAATCTAAAATTGTCTATTATTCTGTTGAAAAATCAACATGTGCATTTATATCTACAAAGAGAACATGAGGCATTACAAAGAGACGCAGGTAAAACATCTGGATATTTTGTATATCTGGATATTATAATAGATAAATTTATATTTGTATGAGTTTAAAGTGTAAATATCATGTCTTTTTTATATATATATATATATATATATATATATATATATATTGTAGAAGTGTTTTTGCGAGATGCGCACTCTTCATAAAAGGACAGCACATTTGGAGATGTCCTGCTGTTACAGTAATCCTGCGCTTCACAAAGGCGTAACGGAGCAGAATCTCTTATCTAACCCTGCATTATGTCTTCAGCCTGAAACAAGAAACTCAAAGCGTCACCGTCTCACACTGACACCAAGCAGGAGAGGAAAATCAGCTGCATTTCACAAGAGTGTGTTCAAACACACACAGCAT